ACCTAGGACAGAGAGAGAGAGAGAGCGAGAGAGAGAGAGAGAGAGAGAGAGAGAGAGAGAGACAGACAGCAACAGTAGCAACAACTACACTAATAGTAGTTCAGTATCAGTAGGAGTGACAGCAAAAGAAAGGTTGTAACTAATTATTTTTTGGTAATGGTAACTGTAATAGTATTACTGACTATTACACTGTGGAAAGTAATATTATTACTAGTATTTCCCTACTGGCCATCACTGGTCGTGACACATAAAGAAGTGACAACAAGAAACACACAGTGAAAAGAAAAAACAATCAGTGAACTACATAAGAAACAGAGGTTCCCAGAGAAATACAGTAGAAAGTTATGAGTATGTATATTAAATGTAAGGAAGTAACTTGAAATCGTGAATTGAATTCTAAAGATAACAAGCTCTTGATAACGTGAACTTGTGCATTCCATATGTGTACACCACCTTCTCTAAGATAACATCTTGTATGTGTTAAAACTTACTTGGCAATAAACCCGATTCTTACTCGCATTCTGATTCTGATTCTCTAATAACAGTTCCAACATAATAACTGAAATTCACTGAAATGTAAAAAACAATTGAAGTTAACTAAATGTGTCACCCTGTGTGCAGGGTGTGTGTGGAGTGTGTACTTTCTCAGCAGTGTGACACACAGGCTGGTGGCCTACAACCAGGATGTCCTACATGAGAGCAGACAGTAGCTGGTCCCAGCCCTGGGACTTCAACAGCCTGGTCCAGACATGCAGCTCCAACATCCAGAAGATCAGCCAGAACTGTGAGTGCTTACTGTGTCCAACACGGACCAGATCACACACACATCAGTCCACTAAGGAGCTGCATGTGTACTGAACTGGCTCCTTTTCTCTGCAGCTGGGCAGATCAAAAATCTCCTCTACCAACTGGAGACGAGACAGGAAACCTCAGATCTCCAGGAGAGGCTGTAAGTAGCAGGGTCCCAGGTAATCTCACATATGATCCTCATTTGATCAACTGTGTGACCTTCTGAGTGAGGTCTGTGTTTGTGTGTTACCCTGCAGCCAAGAGCTCCAGCACTACACCAACCAGCTGGCTAAAGAGACCAACAGACACCTGAAGGAGCTGGGGTCACTGCCCCCCGCTCTGTCTCCATCAGAACAGGTCGGTACATAGACACACACACACACACACCGATATATTGGTACAAACCTGACTCATGGCTAAAGTGTGTGTGGAAGAAATAAGTAAAATAACATTAACACAATTAATCTAAGGTGAGGTCCATGTGGTGGCCTGGCAGCGCAGCAGTCCTAGTGCAGCAGCCCTTTCTGTCTTTAGGCCACGCCCTCTCCAGGCAAGTGTGACGGCCCTCTGACACTTGACAGAGGTAGAAAGGAGACAGTTGGAGAGGCTGTCGCAATGTTAATAAAACACACACACACACACACACACACACACACACTACATCTCTGGATTTAGAGCAGAATAGTAGTAGGGAAGGGAATTGTATTGGTACTAATACCATTATCAGTTCTGCTTATCAGGCCGATTCTTTGTCGATTCCTTTATTGATCCTTGATACAATTTGTGTATGGAAAAAAGCAGGCCTGCAGTTGTTCTCACCATTATCGCAACTGAATTAATTTGTTTAATGGAAGAAAACACTACAGTGTAACCATGTTAAATGTACGTCATGGAAGGAACGCAGAGATAATGGCACTAATTTTACTGACATATTCCAGTCATGTGAGGTAGCAGTGGGCCAGACTTTTTCCATGCCTACAAATAAAGCTCTGTCTTGGAAGTGCCTCACTGTGGTTCCATGTCAAAATGCATTTATTCAATGTTTATTCATGGCTTCTAAATGTTGCCAGTATTTAATACATTTTTGTATGACTGATAAATCACCACTGTACGTATATAGTTTTTTGTTTATATGAGTAGGAAAAGGGAAACTACAACTTGCATTTGATATTCTTTTTTTTTCTCCTCCAGAGGCAGCAGAAGCTGCGTAAGGAGCGTTTGATGAACGATTTCTCTGCAGCCCTTAACAACTTCCAGGTGGTGCAGCGGAGGGCAGCTGAGAAAGAGAAGGAGTCAGTGGTCAGAGCTCGAGTTGGATCCAGAGCCACGGTGAATACCAGGCTTTTCATTGGACAGAGCCTGCAGAGCACTGACAAGCAATAACCGCACTCTCATTGAGTTACTTTTAATACACTTATGAGGCTGACTGAACTTTTTGTTGCTGTCTACAGGGAGACGGAGGCAATGTGAATGACCAGCTGGTTACGTTTGAAAAGTAAGTTTCTTCAGTGTCTTTGTAAAGTGTGTGAAAAAGCTGCACTTTCAGAAAGAACTTGTATTGGATGAACCCTCTGTCTATCACGGGTGAACTTCTACCAATCAGATCAATGAACTATAGAATGTAGTCAAACTCAGTCAGTCAGTTGGGAGTAGTGCTGTCAAAATTGGCATTCAGTTATTCTTTCCTAGGGCCTATACTGATAATTCTATACAAATGAATCAGTTTTCACCTATGCAAAGATGTTAGAAACTTTGCATCAGAAGATCATTCCAAATTGTATCCGATGTACACGCTGGTGCGATTTGGTGACTCTTAACATCCCTATAAAACACACAATAAAGGTCAAAGATGGAATTGACTGACAGCTATTTTTTTTTCAAATTTTCTATAGAATTCACAATGAACATGAATTATTTTGTCCACAATAATTGTGTATTGAAAATTTGATATTGTGACTGCTCTAGTAGCAGTCAATCACAGAAGAGTTGAAGGTGAATAATCATAATAATAATGCTGTGATTGTTTAAAGGCATTCTGGGATATGTCAACATTACTAACTATAGTTTAAGGAGTCTGAGGGATAGTCTGTACAGTTCACTATTGCCAGAATATAGGTGGTATTTCTCTACTGTGAGTTGCAGGTTACAGTGACATAAAGTGGGCTCTGTGTGATTGTGCAGGGAAGATGAGTGGAGTCAGAGCCAGACTCAAACTGAGGAACCCCACATCACAGAGGAGGACCTGGAGATCATTAGGGAGAGAGAGACTAACATCAAACAGCTGGAGGTACCGACCTGAATGACAGGACATTCACTGTATCACATATTACTGTTCAGCACTTAACCCTCTCCTGTCCTCTCCAGGCTGACATAATGGATGTGAACCAGATCTTCAAGGACCTGGCTGTGATGATCCACGACCAGGGAGAGATGATTGGTGAGTCAGAGGAAACTGTGCACTGAGTTGATCCTTTACATGTGGTGTAGATGTGACGAGCTCTTCCTGTGTTGTGATCAACAGACAGCATTGAGGCCAACGTGGAGAGTGCAGAGGTTCATGTGGACAGAGGGGCCGTCCAGCTGCAGAAGGCAGCCTATTACCAGGTAAGATACAGGGGCTGGACAATAGTTTCCAGCCATAATAAAGTATATCATCCACAATATCTTCATACATCTTAAGGATACGTTTGGTGATATTCTACATAGTCCTGCTGCCCCAAATACTCACTGGTGTACAAAATGTGGATTCACCTGCCACTGAAAACTGTTCCCAACAAATGTACTATTCAGTGCTTACTGTTTCATGTTAGGATTAATTAAGTTTAATGTCGGTGTTAAGCTGCTACCACTGCCATATAAAACACTGATGCAGTTTAGCTCCATTTTTCTCTCTGCTGACTGATACTTTGCTGTGTGCAGAGGAAGTCCCGTAAGAGGATGTGCATGCTGGCCATGGTGCTGTCGCTGGTGCTCATCATCCTGATCATCATTGTCTGGCAGGCCATCAAATGAGAGGAGCCCACTGATACCTTCAAATGACTTCCAACGTGTGTGTGTGTGTGTGTGAGCTGTATGTGTGCACATTAGTCTGAAAATGAACCCTACATTCCACTATAAAAAAGTCAAATCCTCCTCAGTGTAACCTTCATCGCCACTGTAGACTGTCTTATGAAATGCAATGTTGCACAATTTTGTATACAGTAAGTTGATATACTGTAAACCCTGTCTTGTTTGAATATGAAGTGTATTCCTGATATAAAGAGTGTCTTACCAGTGGTTCCCAACCTGGGGGCCGGGACCCCACTAGGAGTTGCCTAAGCTTCACAGCGAGGCCTTCTTGATTTTAAGCTGTGCTAGAAAAACAAAATATACACAGTAGGTCTATATCTCAATATTTCATTCATTTCTGTGAAACTGATTAAAATTCAATTTTAAAAAAGTAAAACTAAAAATTTTGTAAGTCAAAAAACGTTCTTGAAGTGACACTGAATTCATTTTTAATTTATTTGTATTGTGAAAAAAAAATTGTAAAAGTATTTAATCAAGAATGTTTTTTAACTTACAAAATTTGAGTTTGTCTAATTTAAAATGTTCAATGTAAACCGTTTCAACAATTATTTTGAGTTAAATTAACTTTACATTACAGTGTATTATTTCATATCTAAACTTTGATGACCTGAACACAAGCAGTATTAGAACAATGGCCAAGTATCAGGGGGAAGAAAACACTGAATATGGTCAAAGTCTGTATGTTTCCTAAAAAAAGAAATAATTTGCTCAAAATTCATCCAAATCACTAATTTTACACAACATTCCTGAAGTTATTGTGTTCACTGTTCATTGTACAGTTTATCAGTTTATCCTATATTTGTTGAATATTATCGGTCAGTTTACTCAATGATAGAAAAGGGCTTCCTAAAAAAAAAAGGATTGGAACCACTGAGCTATGAGAATGTTGAAGGAGATATCGGCTGGTAGCAGCTGGTAGAATGTCTGTCTTTAATAAACCGTTGGTTTCATCTACCCACCTGAGAATTGAATACAGTACCACCTGATGGAGTGCTGCTGGTGTCATGTCTCATTTCGTCCACCAGAGGGCAAGCTAAGCATGAGAGTGAGTAGGATCCATTCTCCTGATATTATGAATGGCCAATACTGAAGACATAGCAGTACATAAAAGTACCATACAATGCTGGGTACTTCAACGCAACAATGTAACATTAGCTCATTTGTTTGATTTGGAGGTAAAATATATTCATCTGAAAGTTAAATATCTCTGTCTCATAATGTGGTGGAATGAAAAGTAAAATGTTTTCGTTTGTGGGGTTCACAGCACTGAAAAATGACATAGTAACATCTGTTCCCTGACAAAGGTCCCTGTAAATCTACACCATCAACAGCAGGCCCATAATCAATACACTTCCCTTAAATATTCAGATATGCCCAAAATGTCCCCCAATATTGAAAAAAGAATAATAAATTAAAGGTCCAGTGTGTAACATTTATGAGGATCTATTGTCAGAAATGGAATATAATATTCATAGTAATGTTTTATTAGTGTATAATCACCTGAAAATAAGAATTATTGTGTTTATGTTACCTTAGAATGAGCTGCTTTTATTTAAAGAGAGAGTTGGTCCTCTTCTACGGAGTCCACCATGGTGAACCGTCATGTTTCTACAGTAGCTCCGAAGGGACGAAACCAAACATTTTTGCAGCCACCTTAGTTTCTCCTATACACTTGAAGCATGAAGATGAGGCAAGAGGGCTGCAATCTGCAACTGCAACACAAGATGCCACTAAATCGGTACACACTGGACCTTTAAAATTGCCATGCTACAAAGGCAACAATCACTATTTTTAACATCAACCCCAAAATGTCTTTCAGTCTTTTTTGCTGTTGGTCATTGTGTTTCAGGCCTGGTTGATTCTTGCAAAGCGTAGAATATACGAGCACTAGGAGGTGCCACAGAACCTGGTTTTTTCACATCTGTCTCTGTCAGTCGATATAAGTGAAAGTTTCAGTAAATATGACATTTTACTCTGCAGGCTTTAACATTGCATTTGACAATGGGAATATTGATATATATTGTTTTATTAACTTAACTACTAAACTCAGTATTATTATTTTAGGAATTGTTCCTGCCTAATTATTTTTTAACATTTACATTTAAATTTAGAAAACAATCTCATTTGTATACGGAAGCCTAAAGGCCCATGCATTCATGCATTTTATTTCCTCCGTTTTGCTATGATTAACGAGTTATTTTAGATGACAAACTTTGTTTTCCGAGATAACGAATATACGTAATTTCCGACTATTGAGCCACCTGAATATCCGCCACCAATAAATTTAAAAAGAATAAAAATGTGTAACAAGTATCCGCGCGCCCGAAGCCGCACTCTGTCGCATAAAGGCGCAGGTGTCCCCACAAAAACCAAAAAATTGAGTTTGTACACATGAGATGTAACCATGAGATAATTATTATT